TTAGATAATTGGCCTAAAATTTAAATTTTGACCAAAATAGAAAAAAATTAACAGAATCCTGTCATTTTGAAAACAGACCACTGAACCTTAAATAAAATGTATTTTATTTAAGGTTTAGGCCATTCATACTACACGCTTAGTAACTTGCTATGCACTTTGAATCAGAGCCTGATCATGTCAAGCTGTGGTGACATCAGTTTTTACTTAGAAAATAGCCCTTTTCACACCGCAGTACCCGAAAATAGAAAATTTTACATTGAAAACATATTTTTGATCTGTATTTTCAAGTGAAAATGGCCATCATAACACAAAACACGAGTCACTTCATATGTTTTTACTTCGTATGGTCTTAATAAGAGAAGCTTTTTTTTTCCATGAAACTTTTTCAATTTGTAATCGTTTATTGACGTTACGGAGGTATAAGTTTGGTGAAATTTGGTTAATGGCTTAAATTACCAATTATTTTTTAAGTTCTCTTATTATATAAATATTGCTATAAAAATACAGTAAAATATGTACGTACTTTTTAAACGATTCTTAACTATTCCTGACGACGAAGATGAAAAATCGTATCGGTGAAATTTCGATGAAAAAGTTTCACGAAAAACAGATTTTTTTTGTTCAAAAAATTTAGCATATTACAGATATTTCTCTATATTTCTCTTTATATTTTCTCTTATAGTGTGAATATTTTTGAAATATTTGTAGCTTATAGGAAAATAGAGATCAATGAAAGTTAAGATCGCACATTTTAACACTAAATGTGTGTTCTTCTTCATAAGACCAGCTGAATGATAACATAATTAGTGTAGAAACATACACAATAATTGTATTCAATTATTGATATTTTATTTTCGATCTACTTATTTTCTGCTAACATTTTAAGCATATATATATATATATATATGTAATAAATAATTTATATGTAAAGTATGTTAGGAATTATTTAATAGTGCGAATGCTTTTCTTATGTAATGGATACTTACGTGTAACCAGTTTTCTCTTTCCATATGAACTCGCATCTCTCACGGATAGTCAAACTGGATTCTGAGATATAATCCTAAATTTCCTCGTTTTCAATTTTCTTATGTGACTATTAGATAATCTTCTGACGGTGATATCTGAAAAAAAAAATCATTTGGGTTATGTTATATCAGTTTAATATTACTGGTTTTAACATTTAACAAATCATTACAAGTTGAACTAATTGTGTGACATTTTGAAAATAATTTTAATAATGTCTGTTTAATAATTTTATAATTTGGGTATATTAAAAATAAGATCCTTGTTAATATTAAGTAGGCTTAATAACAATATTTATATAGTTTTTATATTAGTGTCTGAATAAATAAATAATAATTTAAAAATAAAACTTCTTGTCAACTTTTCAAGGCAATACATCAAATAAAAATTATAGAAATTTATAGAATCTTTATTATTTCCATGCGTTTTGACTAGCCCTGTCAATTTTATAAGTAAATAGTTAAGATTATATCATTATCAATAAAATGTTAATATTATAACTATTAAGTTGTTTTTCCAACATGTCCATTTAGTATACAATGTCCCTTTACGGCTGACAATTGTAAATTTCCCTTAAATTAAATTAAATGTCCTTAACTGGACAGTTGTAAACAAAATAGAGAATACAAAAATTACTCATTCAAAGTTACAATAATTCATAATGAGCTTTTTCGTTCTTATCACAGAAGTCTTCTACAGGTATTTTTTTGATAAAACCGACCAGTTAGCTGAAAATCGCGAAAAGGTCATTTTTTGACCTTTCACCTTGTGAGATTTCTTTTATAATCGTATTTTATGCAATTTTACTAAATTACAGCCCATTATAAACTATTGAGTTTTCAATTTTACCCTGATTTTAGATTTAAATTGACCGGGCTAGACATATTATCTTATGTCATCTTCAATGGACTACAATTTGAAATAAACAGAATATAAAATAACTAAATTGTGTGAGAATAAAATAAGGTAAAAGTAAATAAAACTAATATATAAAGTAGTAACATTGTAAACTGGATAGATTAGATATGAAAATTATAGATAATTAACTATTTTGATATAACAATTTCTATTTGATGTATTGCCCTGAAGATTTTAACTCACATATTTTAATCATTATAAAATATTTTAGCACACACACATACATACATATATATACAAATATATATGTATATATATACACATATATGTGTGTGTATACTATACTTTATCTCCATATAAATTCTAGAATAATTAAAACGGCGTGCATGAAACAGAGCGAAAAGAGAAAAATAAAACTTTTGTTTTTAATTATAAAACATCTTGGAGTTAATAATGTTTCGATGTTATTTTTTAATATAATGTATATGTATATATTTATACATACACACACGCACATATTATATATATGAATACAAAATACATAATAAAATAGAAGGCTATTCAATTCTAACATTAGAAATAACATAGAAAAAATTTAATAAAAAAATAATAATAATTTTAAAAATAATAATAATTTTAAAAATAATAATAATTTTAAAAATAATAATAATTAATTTAAAATAATAATAATGTAATTTAATTTTAAAGATTAAAATTTAAAAGTCTTGAACTTTTAAAGATTGAAGTCGAGACGTATTTGGGTGCATTTGACACTTGTCTTAAGTTATTTCTGGATGTGCTGAATAATCTGAATATTACAATTTTTGACTGTGCTATTCTATTGCACGTATAATATTACAATGTTCATGAACTTACGTAGGTTCTGATTGTTAATAATAAAAAAATATAAAAAAATGAAGTATTAAAATTTATAGCACTTATAAATTTTCCATTTTCTAAAAGAAATATTCCTGGAACATAGAAATAAATAATCGTGTGGTTCAAGTCTCTCATAGTAGAATGTTCTGATTAGGGCAGTTGCACCAACACTTTCTCATATTGTATGAATGAAATTTTTTTTTTAATTTTATTGAATTTTTTTGAAAAACTAATTAATTTTTTCTAATATTTTCCTGTCCTCTGAGGTCATAGGTGGCTAGGAAATATAAGATGAATAGGATACAGGCGTTTCTCCATAAAATTAGGTCAATCAATGGATGGTACCATTTAAAAATGTGGGTATGTATTGCAAATAAATTTTTATTTATTTTAAAATACATACATGTAT